CTCCTATGTAAAATGTATCCAGCCACATAACCCAAAGTGCTTAGCTTATGTTAATTATTATGTTAGCTATTTTTTGACTTGGCACAATACACGAAATAGCAGTTTTGTTATGTCCATGGAAAATACAAGTTTACTTGGGCCATTGTTCCACGTTATGTAATAGTTACTGTCTAATAACGCGGGGGATCATCCATGGACCCCAAGACCGCATTATGTCGAGGGATGACTGTAGCTGATTATATGGCATGACACAATACTTATGTGCTTGAATACACCCTTCGATACATCCTGATACACAAACAGCTCCAAAATACATCTAGCAACAAACTAACTATGCACAGAAAGAAAACAAACCACAAACTAGGTAATTCCTTGCCTCAGCAACTGTCTCACGCTCCCAGGTGAAACAAACAGGTCGGAGAAAGAGAATCTTAGATGTTGTCCAAGTGTTTAAGTATTAATTGAACCTTCAAGCCAAGTTGATCACAAGATCGATTCCATGCTAGGAATGAGTGATTAATGTTACATTCATGACCCTTTTGGTTTGAAGGTTTTTTAAATTAGAAAAATATGGCTTTGCTTAGCAAGTGACACATGTAAAACTAAACTAACATTTAGTCTTGAAAATAACATATTTTACAGAAAAAACGTTTCTAACTTAGATTAGTAAACCATAATAAAACCCAGAGACTTTCTTCATTTTCAGAAACTGTGGTAATCTCGATTCATTCTAGGCTTGCATGGGTTGCATTAGGTATATTTGTTTCAGGGTCTGTTTGACAGACTAATGGAAAACCTGCAGGGGTCATAAAGATTAAAGGGTTATAAGCTAAAAGCTAAAATTAAAGGCAAGTTATAAAGCTAGTTGAACGTATCTGCTAAAGATTAAAGGGAAGTTATAAGCTAGTTGGACGTATCTGCTAAAGATTAAAGGCATGTTATAAGCTAGTTGAACTATCTGCCAATATTCAAGCCAGTATTCCAAAGCCTTGTATACATATCAAATCTGACAATTCCACTGACATGACCACCACTAACCACCATTCCTCTTCACATGTCACAAACACCTGTGGGTGAGAAACCCATTTCAGATAACTGGTTGGTGAGATCAGATTTGGGGTAGCTGACACTCAATGCTTGTCTAAAACCTAGTTCATTGTCTTACCACAAGATTTTATGTTTGTCTTACACAGTTCGGGGTCAAACGGACCCCTAAAACGTAAATTCAAGGATCTTTACAAAACATATTATGTCCCTTTAAAATAAATAGTATAGTGTACTGTCAGGTTAAATTATTCAAATTATTGGGCCTTGATATTTTTCTCAAAACTGATACATTGTGTGTCATTCTGAACACAGTATTATTTTTTCAGAGTCCATTCCAAACATTTGTGAATACCGAACGACAAACGCACAATTTACTGTCATAATAGACTGTTGCTTTTTAATGATCTTCACAAAAGTGCTGTCAGAAATTTTCTCATTTACCTCTACAATTTATGTAGGTAATATGTGAAAGTGTGAAATATCTGTTAAACTAAGTTCGACCTAACTACAGTCTCAGTCTCAGTGGTAGGGGAAAAAGGATTTTACTGAGGAGAGATTAGTGCAGAAATGAGCAATGCAGGTTTTTTCTAAGTCCAAAACGATTTATTTGGAACACACCATGGCTTTATGCAAATTAGTGTGCGACGATATTGTATTACAAATGACACTTTTTAAATTCCCAATTTGAAATTAGACGTAGCTTCATTATAAACGATAGCTGGTGTAAAAAATAATTATTTTCATGCTGAAACTATTAAGGATGTAGCTACCATGGAGTCTCACTGTCACTATAAAAAGAAACAAATAGGAGGGTTCATCTTAAAAGCAAAACCTGGATGGGTGTCGCAGACGATCGTAGGGGTCGGGCTTGGGGATAGAGATATCCACTAAGATAAGATCATCCTTTAGGGCAATTATACTGGGGGAAGTACACGGCACGTCATAACAATTTACAAATAATATCCAGTCCTGTCGATCTTCACGATCGGGTGGTCATGCCACCTATATATTTGGAGACATTTAATATGATGCGTTTCTTTGGTTATCAGGTATCATACTCTTTTACATATCTCAACATAAACTTCATGAAAGAAAGACACGTAAGATGTTAATCAATAGATGAGGCATAGTCAACACACATGACAGAGCACAAGATTCTTTGAGATGACCCCTCGTGCCTGTAGGCAGCACATGCATTTTATGCCAGGTGAGTCGACGGTCCGTCGTCAGACCTGGCTGAGCGACCTAATTGCCATCAATAGTTTGATCTATTGTTTTCAGCAGCTATTCTTATTTTTCAAAGTTTTGCCCGATTTCACTGACCCGACTGAATGCCAAGTTAGGCCAAAGTAGGTTATTTCGACATATGCTATTAGCAGTTGTGTAAATTTTAGGGATACAGAGTAACAGCCTAAAAACAGTTTTTTTCTATTTCCAACAGTACTTTTATAAGCTTCACCAATGGCAGCCAATAAATCTACTTCCAATGACACCTAAGGACTAGTCTAGACTACCACCGTCTGACATATCACCTACCCACTGTGTATGACACAACGCTGGGGGGCAGCCATGTACCATCTACAAAATCTCACTTGCATGTCACCATCACAGGTCTGGCAGCTGGCATGGCCTCAGTGGTCCCCACCGACTTATCAACCAGCAAGGTGATGCAAACTTGATATATTGATCAAGTCAACGGTTACCAGACAATCAACATGGAAATCAAGCCAGCCCTTCACCCGTTGTCGTGGAAACCAACAAACAAAGATACCCCATACATGACAAACAGAAACCCTGGCTATTCAGAAATTAGAAGGGTTAGGAGGCGGAATATAACAACGGCCCGTGTCTAAATGAAGGGAATAAGCGATAGTCCTCTGTGATTCGTCAACATACTTAATGGAAGGTAGCACCAACCAGTTTTATCGCAATCATCAATAAATAAGCCCAGCTTCATCAACCAGGACCAACAAAGTGCTTTGTCATAATAGGCCTATATATAATACCTGGAAATGGATAAATATTTGATTGTATTCGTGGGTAACAAATGATAGGGAAGGTGATTAATTTTTCAATTACTGCTCCAGAGGTGTTTTGCTTTATCATCGTTATGAAGCATGAGATGAGGAAAGAAACAAGAGTACAGCATGTACATTACAATGCTCACTTGTATGTATGTAAGCATGTGTATACCTGTTGCCATGGAGATAGGTATTAGGAGTAGGTCATCGATCATGTCAACATGGTGTACACATTTGTCCACCGGAAAGTAAATAAATGTAAGGGTATGTCATCTGACTTCATAGTTTCTTTTTGTTTAATCCTTCGTTTCTGTTGTCATTGGACCTATGCACGTTTTTCTTCAGAAACTTACACTTACTTGGGGTATGGCGGAGTGAGGTGAAATGGGGTTTAACGTCGTACTTCAGAATATTTCGCTATGACGACGTGCATGCATGTGTATGTGTGGCTGCTTGTACTAGCCCAGACTTAAGCTGGTTTTATAGTGCTAGCTCACTGAGATACCCGCAACCTTCTGCTCTCCAGGCAGACACTCTAACCACTACACTACAGAGGAGGTCTTACTCGGGGGATGAGTGAGTGAGTGAGTTTAGTTTTAAGCCGCTTTTAGCAATATTCCAGCTATATCACGGCGGGGGACACCAGAAATGGGCTTCACATATTGTAACCATGTGGGGAATCGAACCCGGGTCTTCGGCGTGACGTACGAACGCTTTAATCACTACGCTACCCCACCCCCCGATTTGGGGGTTGAGCAATGACTACCACGCTGTACTAATCACGTGGTCAGGATCACTCACTTGGTTAATTGGATGTCATAATATCCCAACATGTTAATCCATGCATTAATAGTTAACATTAATCACTGGATTGTCTGGCCCAGACTTGATCATTTACAGAAATACATATGGCTGGAATATTGTTGAGTGTCGAGTTAAACAAAAACATTCCACTCCAACTACTTCCATACTATTCCTTCAAGGCATAATGGGGTCAGCATATCAGCAGATCCTGGTCACCTAAGGGACACAACAGTGTTGGAACAATCCATCGAACTAGCAACTCAAAAAATGAAGGAAGAGGAATAGACAACCAAAGACAGACAAGTCATGCACAGTACCAGTACATAACGCTTTCCACACAAAACTTTCAAACATAAATAACTGCCAAACAGTACGTTTTAGCGACTTGACCCGTCCAGGCAAAATTGTTGGGAATTCGATTGTGCATCTGTACAAGAGATTTGGAAGTGTTGGAACAATTAGTTCTTGAGATATTTGCTGTCAAACATTTAAATTTTGGAATTAATTTTGAATTATCTCCCCTTTGCTATTGGGCCTAGAGCCAAGAGATTTTTAAGGGGAATATCTACACCTTGGTGCGCATCTGTGTGATTTTTTGTAAGCGATTCGAGACATTGGTTTAGGAGTTATGTTTAGTACAAAAATCGGCGGAATAATAAATAATAATGATAATAATAATCTGAACGATTACAATAGGTCTCCTGCCTAGAGGCAAGGAGTCCTAATAACTAGTCCTTTCCAAAATGAATGTTAAAAACATTCTTTAAGCAGATAACAATAGCTCTAGTTGTGCACATCAGATCTACATTTATAATGATGACTACCATGTGCTGACATTAAAATATTTCGACATCTAAATGATATTCCAATAGCATTAAGATTTGTATACTCACAATCAACCTCCCAAACAGACTAACACTTACAGACTAACACTTACAGAGCTACAGATAACTTTTTGGGTCATTGAGTTATGTACTCGCTTGTGTTCATCTCAATTGGGTATCCTAATTTTCCTTTGAGTAACGAAATAAATTGTACTCACCTCAATCAAACTCATTTGGGTATTTTGCCATTTTCCATTAATTTTAAAAATATAATATAGTTTAAATGTTAGTTTTTGTGATTTACCTTTGATCTGTAATATGAGAAACGATAACAAAGACTGCAAGTTGTCAAGTTCATGTCCTAAAATAGAACCTATCAATATACGTCAGTTATTTTATCTATCCACCGGTACGCAAGCTACGATTGGACATTTTTGTGTGTACGCATGTAAGATCACATTTATTGAGTGTTTACAAAACTTCAAGCATACTTGTATGCAATAGACTTAATAGGAATTGGGTTTTCACATAAATGTTTGCGTAATTTACGCAGATACGCAGCTTATCTGTACCTCTGACTTAGTCTCTGAATACACATGAACTTGATAGAATAAAAACTCCTTTTAAATTGAAATGGAGCCCGGGTGGAATAGGAGATTCAGAACCTGTGGAAATCTATCTAGACCTGCTTCATTTAGGGCTTTAGCATTGCAGAAAGAGCTGTACAGTACGGAAAATATTGCAGTTCCCGAGACTGTGAGACAGACTACATCCCAAGAGAGCCTGTTCAGAAGAAGTTTATTTGGAGACTGTGGAAAATATTCTAAACTTCCAGCTTACATCCACTAAAACATGAGATGAATTTTTCAGATCATGATTCACATCCACAAAGCTACATATGAATGGCTGCTCCCATCACAGCCTCCAACAGGTCTGTGAGTGGTATGAGCGCTGAGGGCAGGTTTAGTTGCCCACCTGTCAGCATATGATATCAACTTACTGTCACATTGGATATCTGGTCATATTGACATGTCGGATATGGCCTACTTGCCTGATGACACATGGACATGCAGAGATGAGGTGTAAAGATAACAGGAATGATACCAATTAATAACAGTTTCTATCATACCGTTATTACAGGTCATGTGATTTGCTGTGTGATATATCTGGAGCAGTGGGGTAGTCTAGTGGTTATAGCATTCTTTCATTATGTCAAAGACCCAGGTTTGAATCTCAAATGGGTACAATGTGTGAATTCCATTTCTTATGTTCTCTACATTAACATAGCTGGAATATTACAAATTACAGCGTAAAACTATACTCACTTTAAGTCTAAACTGACTAGTTTGGTGTTACGCCGATTTTAGCAATATTCCAGCAACATCACGGCGGGGGACACCAGGCTTCACACATTGTGCCCATGTGGGGATTCGAACCCGGGTCTTCGGCGTGACGACGAGCCAATGCTTTAACCATTAGGCTACCCCACCGCCCCCACTTAGTCTAAAAATAATAATATAAGTTGTAAGCTTCTCTCGAGGGTAATACGGCGTACATCAGACCCTTTTACCCGAGGGAGAAGCATACAACGTATTTATCTTACCGACATATTAAATGTTCAAACTATCATCTTATTTTATCTTAATGATCGCTACCGAATATATGACATGTAAACAATATGGCATCTGCCCCTCGACTAGATTTTTTAAATCAATGAAACATATTCTGACATGGTTAACATTGCTATAAAATTTAATTATGTTTAAGTTGAGTGTGCAAATGATTCCATGTATAAAATAGTTTAAATAAAGCAGTGAAAGTCGGTAAAATAAATCTGTACATAGTGAACTCAAAAACATCTAATCGAACGGTTTTAGACACTGCATGCGTCATATTATGACATTACCCGATTGTTAGCGATACAGCTTCTCAGCGGAGAGTTTGGCGGTTACCGTGGTGGCGGGTAATGATTTTTCCAGTTGTCCCAGGGAGGGGTGACACGGAAACTTGTTAAAGTATCATTGACCAATGAAATTAAAGTATTTCACATGAAGGTAAGATAATGCCATATGTTTCTTTGTGTAACTATGATATATTTTACTGTAAATACAAATGTAGCATGGTAGATAGTATTCCTTCTCTCAAACTCACATTTATATATCTTCTTTCTAAAAAAAAATATGCTGACATTTTTCTTCAGAAAATACTCACTCTCGTGGGTTATTTTCAGAAGACAATCACATTTCCTCAATGTAGAAAACATAGTTCTGAGTCATGTCTGTATGTAAGTGCTATATATAAAGGGCAATCTCACCTGGCTAATAAATGTCATATATCACACAGAATGTATAATGTCACATATCATTTATACACAATTGCAAGGGTGCGGCCAACAGACAGAAAGGGATTTTATGACATTAACAGATAAACTGTGTCCAAGCTGAGATTGTGGCGTGAGCCTCCATTTTACTACTACTAAGTAAATTACTCAACAAGAAGAAGGACTGACCCAATCCAATAAATATCTGTTATGAATACATCATCTTGTTATGTTGAGTTATTCTTGAATCTTTCAAAAATACCAAGCTACCACATTAAGATTTATTTTTAGCTGAGAGCTAGTGCACTATCCTAACACTATGGAGATTGTACGTTAAGGCCAGACCAAATTTATTTCTTGTTTTACGGATCTGCCGGTCATATTTTTTCAAGAATAAAAAAAAAAATATAAATGAATTTTCCCCGCTCAAAAAATAAAATAGTCATGTTTTTATTGGCCAAAAATTGTAAACTTACAAGAAATTTTTTTTAGATTGTTTTTTTGCCCCATAAACACTTCATAAATTGCAAAAAATAAAATTCTTTGAGTATTTAAAAGGAACATTACTTTGACTGGTGATTTTCACTTTTTATTTTTTTCCCTCCTGCCTTTAGGTTTTCTGAGGACAAAAATCCATAAAATAAGAAATAAAATTGGTCTGGCCTAATGTTAGTTAAACAATGGGAGCTAGAGTCATCTTAGCACTAAGATCAGTTTGTTTCTTAGGGCCCAGGTAAGTAGAACCTGTGAAGAGCTCTGTTAGACTTGGTCCTCAGCAACCCATGCTTGGCGTAAGAAGCGACTAACAGGATCGGGTGGTCAGGCTCGCTGACTTGGTTGTCACATGTCATCGTATCCCAATTGCGTAGATCGATGCTCATGTTGTTAATCACTGGATTCTTTGGTCCAGACTCGATTACTAACAGACCACCGCCATATAGCTGGAATATTGCTGAGTGCGGAGTTAAACAACAACCAAAAATCTTGGATGGTAAGAAATGATTAGATTAGAACAGGTCCCCAGCAACCTAATCTGGTTGTAAGAGATGACCAAATAGATCAGGTGGTCAGGCTTACTGACTCGTTTATCAGTTTGACAGTATCGATTGCTTCTCAAAATGTTCATCTTTTTGCTATTGATAAGGCTCCCATAATATCAATCACTGCATTGTCTGGTCCAGACTTGATTATTTAAAGGCTGTTATAGTAAGATAGCTGGTGTATTGCTGAGTGTATATTGATAGTAACCTCTTTAAGTGGTATTTAGAAGCTGGCATCATTTGCTTGATAACAGTGTTTACATCGAAATGTAGCATCTATTGCAATGAGGAAGTTGTCTGTCCATAAATAAAGTTCTTCCTCGTCAATAGTACATGCTCATTGTACATAACATAATACACTACATACAAATAAAAAACAAACAAAACTAATGATTGATTGAATAAATAAAAACATTGGTGTAAAGCATGGGATCTACAGACATGAAGTCTAGCTTGGTATGTACATTGTTACTAGTTGGTCAATGGTACTCTAGAACCATATGGCTGTAACCGTAGTAACAAAAATTAAGTCTAGTTTGGATACATTGTTTCTAGGGAGGCAATGGTGGTCCAGTAACAATATGTTTGTAACCATAGTAACAAAACAATATTTAACATTTATTTACAATACAAGTTACAACATATCTTTTAAAAGGACATCCTGCAATTTGACACTTGCCATGACAGCAGATGTATTTCATCATTGAATGGAATACACAGAGGCCCAATCAATCTATGTTTACAAAATGGATTGATTAGATTCATGTTTATGTTAATGTTTTTGAGTGGCTCCAATATACAATTTCTAGTTTTAATCATACGAATTGGTTTCAACCACACAATAACATGAGTCTTTAATTCTGCATATTTTCAGCTTGATCGTCCTACTTCAAACAGGAAAACTGTTGCATGTGGCTATAAGCATCAATCAAACATAGAATATACCATGAGGTTATATGCAGGTTACCATATCATTGAGCTGTTGAGGGTGAGTATAGACTATCTTTGGCAAAATAGGGTAACGTTTCAGAAAAAACAACAAAAAAACTTTCACATATTAATGAGGACCCTCTGCAGTGGAGTTGCATGACAATGTACACAAAGTCTATAGTGACAAGACCACAGGGACACAACAAAGCTATATTGTTTCTATTTTGACTATTATGTTGTGGCAAAACAACTAAATGGCTGTTTGGTTCCTGGATGTATGACGCTAATTGTAATTCTAAATCAACTCAAGCTTTCGGAATTCTAAATACCGTACTCACGTCAAAATGCTGGAAACACCATCAGAGAATGTGTGTCAGACTAAGACCAGTACTAAAATGAGAGCTCTGTTTATATTTCGTAACCAACTGCCTTGTCGGCTTGCGAAAAACTTAGTTATTGCGAAATACGCTCAGTGATCAGGTGTCGAGCAGGAAAATTACGAAGGTGACTGACAATTAACTCGATGATAATCCGAGATCGCTAACTAACTTTACACATAAACATATGTTAGATGCGGGTGGTATATACTTACCGTTATTTCCCGGTTGTGTCACATCCTAAAACGCAGGGAATAAAACATAAACACCATAAACATCACTAGCAGGTAATGTTGTCACTTGGTCGTCGTCAGTTGACATTGATAAACGTACGAAGCTCCATACAGCAACGGTTCACCAACGAAAGAACGATTCGGAGCTGGGAAAGCAGCGTGTCGAGTTCACGTCTCTCGGTAAGGTGAAACTCGGATTAATCCGTTACCGAGTCGAGTGTATGTCGTAAGGTGATTCCGATTGATGATCCGGCCCCTCTCTCCATTCCCACGCGTCAGTTGCTCATACTGTTCAAGCTTTGGCTATGATTATGTTTAATAAATCTATTACTTATTGGTACCAGGAGATGAGGAATTCTACTACTTATATGTTGTTCAAACAATTTAAGGTGAAATTTGGCTTTGAAATGTATTTAATTAATGTTTTAA